GGCAGCATTTGTGAAGGAGAAAACAGAGTTAACATTTTGGGTCCGGTGACCTTCCTCAGAACTCTTCTGAGGAAGGGTCACCGGACCCGAAACGTTAACTCTGCTTTCTCCTCCACAGATGCTAACCTGCTGAGCTTTTCCAGCAACTGTGGTTTTAGGCCTGTCCTATTCTCTGAACATCCATGGAGTCTGGAACAGCTGTTCAAAGAGTAGTGGCTCATAACACTTTAGAAGTATCGTCATCTATAGTTTACATGAGGTATCCTTTTAAAAGGCAAGTTCAAAAGGTCCTTCTTCCACTGCCAGGGCCACACTATGACCCCTTGTGCAACACCTACAGCCCTCACTCCAATTGGTGGCCCTCATATCAGGCTATTACACTTGCACATACATTCACTAAATATACACTGAACAGAAGCATACAACTGTAGAGTAACAAGATGCGTAAAACAAAATGAAAGTAATTCATTCGTCACTTTTCACTTTCTTTACTACATGACAATTAAACTGTGAATCATTCCCGATCCCTTTACGTATCACCAGCACTTGAAACTTTCCTTGTGCAGACATCACATAATTGACAGAAGAGATGACAGATCCAGGCCTGTCAGTCAAGCAACATTTTTCCTGAGGCTCAGCTGTTTCAACACAGTAACAGATGTCTGGGCATTCAGTCAGTCTCATCATGCATTCTTGGCATTGCTGGATTGACAGCACAAGCCAGTATTTATCTACACAAGGTTGAAAGGTTTCAACCACTTGCAGTTTCTGCTATTGATAACATTAAAGGATCTGGATGCTTGACACTTTTATTGGCTTCTAATGAGTTTTTTTAAAAAAAGTAACAAATAAATTACTTGTTTTAAAAACTTTTATTTTTGCACATCCTGTTGTCACTATAGGGCTCCGATCGGTGAATGGGCTCAAAGGCCTGAGCACTTACTGTACAATTGGGACAATGTCCCACGTCACCCAGCTGGACTATTTAAACAATGTGCCTCAGCACCCACTGGCCCATGTCTGCCTCTGGCTTCTGTTGGATTGGCTTGTCTGCTGCTGAAGTTTGCACCTCCAGAGTCATTTTCTCCAGAAATGCTTAAACGAAGCTTGGAATTTTCCTGACTCTCACTATCTGTCTCAAGGATGAAAATCCAGGCCTGGATTTCAAAATACAATCATTAACCAGACACATTTACAGAGGCATGAGACAAGGTCAATGTTCATCCCATGTCTCAATCTTGGCTCAGAATAATTCTTGATCAACAAATCAGGCATGAAAGATCACAATGGATGCATACAAGTCTATCTTATTGTCATAGTCACAGGTCTACAGGACAGCAAAATAATTACCCTTTCAAACTGGACAGTCTGGAATTTCTAATTCCAATGTATTTAGGGCTGCCATCCATAAAAGTGCTGATTCATTATAATTGTACATGTTTCTCTTTCACTACAGTAGAATGATCTAAACAATAAGGAAACCAGCTATGGGGGTTAATGCTTTCATATCTTTGCACTGCTCCCATGAAGAGTAGTGTGCAGAGGAAGGACTCACAGGCTGATTCATAGTCTTCCCTGGTTGGATAGTGCATCTCTAATGCCACCCAAAGGGGTTGTTAGTTTAATGTGGTGGGAAGGATTTATGGCACCTCACATCTCATAAAAAGATGTCCATTCACACCTACTGAATATTTTTTAAACTTGATAAAAGCTTCCATTCAGACAAGGATGTCTTTGAAAAGTAATGCATCAAGCAAACGGGTTTTGTTTGTTGGGCTGAACATAATTCTTGTTTATACTGATGTGGTGAGGAGGTGCTTTATATCTTTGTGTATATCAGTCTCCTCCAGTAGCATAAACAAAGTAAGTTTATTGAAAGAGGCTTTGCTATTTCTTTCCACATTTAGGCCATTGGGCCATTGGCTCCCAAGGCACAATATGAGGTGCTGCTCTTCCAGGTTGCAGGTGACGACATTGTGACAGTGGAGGAGGCCCAGGATGGGCATGTCACCCAGGGAGGGGGAGGGGGGAGTTGAAATGGTTCGCGACCGGAAGGTGTTCTCGTTTGTTGCAAACAGAGCGCAGGTGTTCTACAAAATGGTCTCAGAGCCTCTGCTTGGTCTCACCAATGTAGAGGCGGCCACATTGGGAGCTTCCTTCCCCCTCTCCATTTCTGAAGAAGGGTCCTGACCTGAAACGTCAACTTTCCTGCTTCTCTGACGCTGCCTGGCCTGCTTTGCTCCTCCAGCTCCACACTGTATTATCTCTACATTTATTGAAGTTGTGTTATGCAGTGAAGAGATCTAAGATATTACAAACAAAAAATGCTCTTCACCAGCTTGCAAGGTGTTTTCCAGTTTTAAAAATGACATGATTTTTCCACAGTGAAACAGGCCACGTGGCTTACTCCCTGTGCAATCAGCTGTAGGCTGGACGTTTTAAACTCACACCCTTTTTCCACGTTTCTCAAAATTATTCCTTTCCTACTATTACCTCGTTTGTAAAATATTTCAATTGATTCTACAAAAATGTCCTTCAAGGACAGCACATTCAATATTGAAATTTATTATCAGTGGAAGTGTCATCTGCCCATTTCTCTGTCAATGGCCTGCATTTTGAAGCAAGTTGACAGGCTATAGTACTCACTGTTGACTTTGAAGTAAGTTGATCACCAAGGACCTAGGGATCTCTGTACAACAGTTTTCCCCAATGTTGGTTTAAATCTGGCACCAAGAAGATCTCCAGGTGTCCAGCAATAGTGATGTCAATAAGGAAAAAGCCACTTAGACTGAATTAGTCTTACAGTCAGCAAATCAAAGGTAAAAACAAATCTTTTGTTTTTAATGTCTAAATTTTACAGAGAGCAAAATAAATGATTGGGACTTACATTTGTAGAAGTTAAAGTATCATAAACTTTTAAAAAACATGAAATTTATCATACTGAAGAAATCTGACATCCAACAGAAAACTAGTCCTTCAGGGCCATTAGTAGTACAATAAGAATAAACCTATTATGTTGTGGATATTGGGAGTGGCTATCATCAAAAGTTGTTATATTCACAAAGTACTGGTTGGCTGTCTGGAGAAAAGTACAGTACAGTTGGGCAGTACTGACTGTCATTTCATCTAAACAGATGTTTGAATGAAGTGCAAACTGATGGACTCAAGTCCTCTTTACTTGCTCGGTGAAAACGATTGTGTAAAAATGCAGACGCTTATCTTACAATGGATCCTGATTCACAACAGCAAATGGGAAATCAAGTTTAAAGTTCACAGTGGTGTATCAAGCATTGATGCAACGTCAGAATGAAAGGAAATGAGAGACAGAACGAAGGAACTCTGCCTGCACCTATTTTATCATTTGATCCCAGGCACTCTGCCTCAGAGGTTAAGACTCTGTCACAGTGTCACACCTTTTCATTGTTGAATATTGGCTCAATTCTTCCAGGCTCTTCACTTTGGCCATGCGACTGTCAAATTCCTTCCTACAGTCTTGCTGCAGATACCTTACTTCCTCAATGGAACGATTTAAAGTGGAACTTAAATCTCCTTCACTCCTTCTGAAAATTTCCTGAAGAAGGAGACATAGAAGTGAGTACATAAATTGACAGCATTTGTAAATAAAGTTAAAAAAATCCTAAATGTTCAGAAAATTAGATGAATCAATAAAGGTAAGCGCATAGATAAGAGTTGGCAGCAAGGCTGCAATTTACTGACTTTTTTTTAAGCTGAGGACTTTAATCTATATGGAAAGGAGACAACAAGTAATTACCATGTTATGATCCAAGTAACCTCATTAGCAATTTTGGATTTCTTAGTCTGTACTTCTCGAAGTCTCAAATTTCCACTCACTCACTCCCTCCCTCCTTCCCTCCCTGTCTAAAGTAGGGCAGGATTGCTCTCCTTCAGAGAATCATAGAAACTTAAAGTAGAGAAGAATGCCATTCTACCTGTGCTGACTCTTTGAAAGAACTGTTCATTTTAGTCCCACACCCCAGCCTTCCCAGTACAAGTCTACAGAGACAAAGGTAAGGATTGCTTTTGTGAAAAATTGACAACATAAATAAAATCGCAAAATATGGCAATATTAAATAAACGTTTTGAAATTATTCAAGAATTAGTTATAACTGAAATCAAAAACTGGTTTCTGGATTTGAATTTGGCCATAGCAAAGAGGTGAATGCAATCTGCCAAAAATAAATCAACTGTCTGAGTGAAACTTGGAAAGTAGAAGGTAAAATTCAAACTATTAGGAATATACTACCAAGGAAATTTCAAATACCTGTAGCTCCTGATTCGACAAGCTGAGCTCTGGGCTGGCCTTCTGCCTGAGAACTTCAATTATGTGTTTATTCAGCCAGAAAGTTTCACTGGTCATCAGATTTGAACCATCCACTTGATCAGTTTCTTTAGCAGATTCTGAATTTAGGGGATATTCAAGATCTATATTTTTATAATTGCAATGGAATCACAAGGCTTTGAATACATTAACAGAAACGTTTTCCTCCTGCAGGTCTGCACTGTGGGCTAGAACTACTATGGAGCAACAATACTGTACATCTGGCACTGGTTTGCAGTCTGATTGGGTCAGATTGAAAGGGTATTAGCTACTGTTTTCCTGATCCCACTGTCAGATCATGTGAAGAAACATACAGACATAAATTTCTCCCTCATGTACCTTTAGCTTAAGGAAATTTAATCTGTCTCTTGGATTTGAATAATGCCAGTCTCCAAATTAGGTCACAATTAGGCTAGCTTTTAAGATTTTACTGAATTCAAATTTCACCATCTGGTGGAACTTAAATGCACATTGGGTCAATGGTGTCGATTCCTCTCACAGAAGTAATCAGGCGCTGCTCATTGCTTTCTCAAATGCATAAATGAATTTCAGATCTCATGTACAGAAGACTCCCCATGTATGAACTTTCATCCTGAATACCCAATATCTCATGCTTTATCACAGCTTAATGCTAAATATATATAGTTTGATTGTTACCTAAACCCAGATGTCAGCTAAATACCTGCTCCAGTTCAGATAGCTAACTCAGCACTGGCCAAGCAAATTTTCATATCAGATTACATCAAATGGCAAATTATATTGAAGTTGAAGTTGAATAGCGTATCTTAAGAATGTGGAAAATAGAAATAAATTTATAAAATAATGTAACCTTGGAAGAATTTGCTCCACATTCATCACAACATCAGACTAACCATCATTTTCAACTGGAAAGGTATTCCGGTACAGTTTTAATAGTTCCTTTGCTTCCCGCTGTTCCTCTCGGTTGTCAAGTGCACGTTGAAGGGAGTCCTGTATTGCTTCAGTTCCTTTTAAAGTTTCATCAAGCTCCTTTGCCAGCTCAGCAGATGGTACATCTATTAGGGCCTATAAAAGAAAGGTATATTGAAAGCTACTGAATTTTTAATGGGCCTACTTACAATTCAGGAATACAGGTGCAAGTGAGATAACAAGGTGTAGAGCTGGAT